AACTGGGTTAAAGGAAAGTCAATAGTCAAATAAATTGTAAACTTGCCAGGGCTTGTTTAAAACCATACCAAGAGTGAATTGTTCTACAAATATGTCAACTGTTAAAGCCTAATCCTGTTACAAGTAAGAAATTTTATTCTGCAGCCCACATCACTGACTTAAACATCCGTCTAAAATGTTTCACTTTCATTCTGATTAAATAGTTCATCATTTCTAAAACATGAATGGCTAATTTTGGTATACTACTACTACAGGCCTGTCAACTGTCCCGCAATTTGCGTATTTGTCACGCATTTGCTGAAGAATTTGAAGTCACGCCAGTTTTTTTTGCGTGACAGAAAATGTCACGCAAATACGCATTTTACCTGGTAATTGTCACGCAAAACTATTTCTGTAGAAATTTTTTCGAAATATGTTTACGATACGGTAAAAATACGAACGTCTGAAAAAAACCGAACGCAATTTGTTCGGATTTGTCACGCGAATCCCGTATATGTCACGCATGTTCATTGGAAATTTTCGTACCTACCCCCCCCCCCCCCCCCCCCCCCCCCCCCGTTGACGATATCGCGAGCGTAGCGAGCGCGAAAAATTTGAGGTGATCAAAGTTTGGCAAAGGTGCTCAAACTTTGGCCAAAGGTGTTTAAAAGTTGGCCAAAGGTGTTCAAAATTTGGACAAAAGTGTTCAGATTTGGACTTAGGTGTCCAACATTTTGAAGTCACTCATATTAGGTGGTGCCAAGTTGACAGCCCTGCTACTATGAGGAGAACTGCCATCTGATTGTTTCTAATTCCTATTCCTTACCAATTCCTCTTTTTGACATTATAAGCAGGAAATATAATGAACATGGTATATTGATTTTCTAATACCATACAGGATTGCATCATCATATAACCTTGGGTCAGAGAAAGCATTCATTTCTCACACAGTAGTTTCTAACTTATTTTGAACAAAATTGGAGAAAAGAGAAAAATCAAAAGTGAAATCAATTTAATTGTCATCAAGTAGAAATGCCATTCAAAGAGAAAATTAATGAAGAAATCATTTTGAATTTCCAGCTGAGGAAAACCTCATAAATCACTCAGTAACTATTTGCAGCTTCAGTGGATGATGAAATAACACAAACCCCTATTTCTAATCTATTTTGAAAACTTAATGCATGTATAGCTATAAAAGAAATGTTGATAATCTACTTGTGAACAAGGACAAGAGAGAGGGTGAAGTAGAGATACTCATTTAACATAAATATGTTTATATATCTGCTATGTGAATTAATTGCAAATTACAGGTATATTTCCCTAATTAAATATAGGAAGCAGTTTCATACTGGTTAGCTAGGTAGACTATAATATTGACAAACTCTCAACAATAATATTATTTTCCCTACTTTCTAAACTACCAACTTTGAGGAGATAATTACTGAGACCTTACATAATTTGATATCATTTTTGAGATGTAATCAGAAAACATACAACAAAACTTGAGTAACATGCAATCTAACCATAAATTTCTAGCACTGATGAATGAAATACCTAACATGTATGACCAGTGCTTAGAAAAATGCCAAATTGTTACCACTTTCCTACATTACTCTTCTCATTAGTTATATCAAGCACATGACATACTTATAAATCATCAGCAATGATATAAAAAGGGGAGGGGGATATTATAACTCTTGCCACCTCACATTAATGTTTGTAAGATAGAGGCTTACTGAACTGGTATGGTTACCTTCCTTGCCTTTATATGTGACAACATCTTGAGACACTTGACCAACTTGTTAATCAGCTAAAGCTTTTTGCAAGGCCTGAGTGCGCCGCTAACATGCTAAATAGAAGAGTTAGCTGACGTTTGGGAGTCTGACTTACCTTCTAAAGGTTAGAACCCGAATTTTAATGAAACCATATCACCTTTGTTGCGTCGATGATGATGCATAAACATAGCATTTGATAGAAATTAGTGTAAATACTTTTCCGACTTTTTCATTTTTCATCAATGTTGACTTCCGGGAAGGCGTTGTAGTTATCACGAAATAACGCATTGACCCTTCAACTTTACTTTGTTGACGTGTCAACCAAGCATGTCTGGTGTGAAAATTAAAAGAATATTAAGCAATGTTCTACATCCGCCAAGCTAAGTGAAGTAGTCAATATTTAAAATTACCAATTTCAAGTGAAGTACGCAACGAACGAAACTGCGTGATCTACAGTCCCACTATTGGTCTGAACGAAATGCTACGTAGAAATATGAGCCGTCTGCTGTATTAGTCGATTAATAGAGTAAGACCTGTTGGTGATGCTTTATAATTTAGACCAAAACATTGAAGAACATACGGACCTGTAAATCGTGAAAACAACGAACAAATATTCGGTTTTCATATATGTTCGGTAATTTTTCGTATTGAAACTTCCGGAACTTACAAGGAAATCATCATTTTATCGGTCCATGATTTACCTCTTGGATGTTGTGGCAAATGCTCCATGGTTGACGGAACAAAGGTGATATGGTTTCATTAAGATTCGGGTTCTAACCTTTAGAAGGTAAGTCAGACTCCCAAACGTCAGCTAACTCTTCTATTTAGCATGTTAGCGGCGCACTCAGGCCTTGCAAAAAGCTTTAGAAATATAACATTGGCAATTTTACTTTGTCTAAACACTTTAGACTCACATACTCCTTGCTTTGGTAAAATCCAAGCCAAAGATTCAATGCTTTGAGTAGAAAGTGTAAACTGTCAGATTTAAAAGAAACACATTCTTACCTCATCATCGGTGACATGACTGGCTTCATTTCTATTTGCATTACAATCCACACAACTATCAACAAGTCTATCATCCAAATCATCTAGTTTTCTAATATATTCATTTGACACTTTATCTTTGATTATATTGTCTTCTGTGCTTGTCATCTTTTTTATGGAACATTTTGGTTTTTGGTTCATTCCTAAAGAAGGAAATAAGTGCATATCGGCAAGTCCTTTCCTTGTTCAATGATATCCAACTTGTCCTGCTTGTTGTTCTATTCCAAACAGCTGATCTTTGTGCAACTTTTAGCTACATACACAAAAGAGATTGTTATACATGCTAAGGGCCAACTCAATAAATAATGGTACAAGTACCATGTATCATTATATCAAGTAAAACAACCTCTCAATGAAGCTTATTGGTTATACACAATTTAAAGCAATTTAATTTCAAGCTGGCCAGGAACATGTTTAATCTAATTATCTGCAGGTACATACATACAGCTGAGTGCCTGCAAAATATCAGGTGATAGCCTGCCCAAATTTTATTTTATTTCATCCTGTATATTTCAGCACATTTTGCTCTAAGTAAGTTAATACATAAGTTTCACTTCTGTTCATATAAATCACAAAGTTTAGATTATTTATTTTAATCTTCTCAATTATTTAAAGATATTAATGTGGATATAACCCAGTTTTAATCTTCCCTATTTATAAGGGTATATCTACACATGTTCCAGGGCCCAAATTTCCAAGGGAATTTCATCATCAAAATGAACTGTGAACAACATCCGTATTTCTATTTAATAATGCTGTTTACTTTATCTTGACCAATGTCCGAATATCTGTTTCCACTGGCATGTTATTAGTAAAAACATTTATATGAATATAAGCTTGACATATGAATTATGAATTTATTCAAAATTCCTCCTTATAGCTTAAACCCTACAAAGCAACTGGTGAAATGCCAAATTTCTGAAACTGATGAAATTGTGATCATGAAGTTGGTGCATGAGGAAAGTATACTAGAAGAAAGACTGTCCCAGAATAAAACCATATTTACCTCATCCAAAAAACATAAGTGCACAATAACCACGAATGGGTTAGATTGGCAATTTTATGTTGCTAAAAGGTTTTCTTCAACACAAGATTGCAGTAGAGGGGGGAGAATACCCCCCCCCCTGACCTGATCAGCAACTGATCACCAAAAGTGACATGCCAAAGGGCAGGTCATGTCAGGTGTCCATGATACAGTTGAGTATCAATATCATCAGATGCCCTGGATGTTGTGTTAACAGCCACTAGAATATAATTTACTGGAGTCAGCTTATTTACAAGTTTTACTAGTTCTTCCTGAAAATTAATAAAGCTCCCATCTTATAATAAAAATAGATCTTAACAGTAATTTTCTTTTTCTTTTACCCCACCTTGCTCCATCTTGGATTTCCAAGGTATGATAATATACCAGTGTGATTGAAAATCAAACTGGGAAACGAGTTTGGGTGCAACCCATTAACTCCTTTATATGCAGGATCTACCAATAGCATCAAGGGATTTCATGTCTCCAGGTTTATGACAAGTTTAATTAATCATAAGGAAATCAAATTGCCATGATCAGTTGATAGCTTGGCTAGTTACTTTATTCTATCATCTGACACTTAACCTTCAAAAAGTTTCATTTTGGCCTCACTTTATGGCAGTTCACATTCTTGATTCCCTGTGACAGAAAAGTGAAAAAAATATACTGAATGTAAGCCTTAATTAGTCCTGCCTCCCTAGGCCTGTGGCAATTACTCAGATGCAAGTAGGTAGTTACCAGTTTCACCAACAGGTGGCTAATTCAGGGGAAATAATATGGCAGGATATTACAAAGTTCTCTTAAACTTGAATATTCATCAATTTTAGTGGTTCACTTTTCATATTACCCTTATGTATCTGATAGTTATACAAATTACTAGCATTCTGATACTTATAGCATCTTTTTGCTTCACCTGAAACATCTCAGGGTTGAGAAAAAATGAGATGTCCTGGTTTATGATGATGCATTTCTAGATGTAATTTTACATGTAGATTCCAAATATCACATCAGTTGTCATTTCGAAGGGCAATATAGTGAAATATTGGACCGAGGGCCGAAGGCGTTATTAGTATTATTACCACCATTAATGACCAGGACTGAAACAGCAAGAAAATCTTACGCACTGAACAATCTAATTTCTACTTTTCACACGGTATAGAACTGAATGCTACTTTCCTTCCTTTGGACATTTCTTTATCGATATTTTGTTGTATGGCTTCACTATTATCTAATGCTGATTTCCAGTTTCCATGAATACGGGATTCCCTTGGACCATTGTACCCAAGTTTAACACCATGTGTAGCATTTTCAACAATATAATTTACAAAATTTTTGTCAGGGTGATTTCTTAAGCCATGGGCTAAAGCTATTGGGCACAATGGTTTGTAGGGCTTAATTTCCTCCAATGCACTTTTTACATTTGTATTTTGGGATATCACTTGCCCCGCAACCTTGGCATTTGTGAATTCTGAAGCACTGTGATCCATATTTACATTCTCCATGTTGATATTTATTGCAGATTTCGTTTTTAATCTTATCCTTGCTGTATGTTGTTGTTGTCGTAGACGGCGCCGACGACGTCGCCACCGTGGTCCCCGCTTGAAACGGGCAATTGGAGACCTTATGATCTCCTGCACAGCGATAACATTTGATGATGTGCTGCTTCACAGCTGTCGAGTCGAACGTTGTCACGTATAGTTGTGTGTCGATATTCCCAAATTGTTGACTTTTTGTTTGTGATAATTTGCTTCTATATTTGACGTCATAGGCGTTGACGGCGTTCCACTTGAACTTGGCGTCGGCTTCTTGGATTATATTTCGATATGTACATAATCCAGGATAGGTGTGTGGTGCATTTTGTACAATGATAGCCTCGAAAATATTCCAGGCGCTCAGCCATTGGGAGAAATTTTCAATTATTTTGATTTTTCTGGTTTGTTTTTGTCGCAGTTGGCCATTTTCAAGTGACAATATCGGATCGGGATTTTCATGATGGTCGTGCAGTAAATTGGCGGGTAAAATGTCAATCATTTGAACAAACTCACCGTTCTTTATGGTTTTGATGACTTTTTCTGGAACCGGGACGTTAAATACGTTTGTCGTGTCATGTGTTCCTGTTGCCGTATCGGGGATGGAGTTCTGTTCCCCGGCTGATGTTTGATCCACGGCGGTCGATCTTTGTTCAATGGGTGTGGCTTGTCGCTGAGTTTGAATTTTTATCTCCCCCAATTCTTTTGATATGTGCACAACTTGTTCCCTCATGTTATTTTGTTCGACTTGCAAGTCCTTTGTTACCGCAACTAGTCCAGATATCTGTTGGGACACTTCCATCATAGCAAGTTGCCATCCTGGAATGTCTTGGTTTGTATCGGCCGTGGAAACCGGTTCTGGGCGTGGCAGCTCGGCCTCGACTTTCACGTCTAAGTTTGAACATTTTGGTCCTATGGGACCTTTATGTCCACGAACTAGCTCCTTGCATTGTGTGCAGCGTCTACCTTGTTCTTGTGTGTCTTGTAAAGCCATAATTTGTAATAAATAATTAAAACGTATAAAATTGACTATATAAAATCCGAAGCGTCCTGCTCAATCGATCATGTTTTGACTGAATGAATTCAATTGATCTGGCCTGGCCGTGAGCCAACCCACTCCATGCATGAACGCTTACAATCAGTATACCTATTAAAACCTATTTATAGGATAAATATTCATTAATGACCAGGACTGAAACAGCAAGAAAATCTTACGCACTGAACAATCTAATTTCCCGGGGAAAATTGCCGGTCGTTAAATGCATTCTCGACCGGTCTGGAATGCTATATTGACCCCCAATATGACGTCACATATTGCTCAGCTCCATATAGTAAAATGAATGCCTTCTAAACTAGCAGTAAAACCCCTAGAACTGGCCCGGCAAGGTGATAATAATTTTTATTTCTAATGACGTAAATCAAGATTATTTCTACTTGCATCTAGTCTATTACCCTAGGCAATGTGCTACCCTCAACAGAATGCTATTGTTTTGCTTGATTTCCTAGCCTTACCAAGTACATGTACTAGTCTATAATGTACTCATCTATTATCTTATAGTATTACCCAGTACCAAGGGTGTTTCATAGTTTTACCTCATGCTTTACAATAGTTTGAGCAATAAATAAATGAGTAGTCGATTTTCCATCACCACTTCCAAACCACAGTGGTTTGAAAGTCCATAGTTTCCATTATTGTCAAGATATATATCCCCAAGTAAAAATTTGTATATTTTACATTTTGTATACTCTCATCCACTGGTGTATGGCCTCTTGAAAATTCGTTAATTTTTAACATGGGAAATCCTCATTTTAGCAAATCCACTACTAATTTATTTACTGCTCAGACTGAGCATTCAGTCAGTTTTTATCCAGGGGTTCTGTTAAGCAGTTTTAATCAATTCAATTCTTTATTCAAATGTCAAAATCTCAACCTGCCATGAGTTTAACTTTATTAAAACATATCTCAATATGCATTATTCAAGGGTCAGATGTCAATGATAATGATGTCAATGATAATGATGACAATGAGATGTCTCAGAAATAATGCCCTTCCTGATGTGAGATCATCACAGAGGTATATGTTTTTCACTAATTAGATGATGCAATTTCAGGATGACACTACTATTTAAGCGAAATAAGGTTTAAGCTGAGTCATTTTTGATTCACGTGAAAATTATTATCATATTTCTCTAAAAATGCAAAATGAACATCATTTTCCTGCTTTTTGTTAAGGTTGATGTGGATGTTATATAGGATAACTGTTGTACTTTATTTGAATGATGTTATTTTGTGTTCAACATTTCCTCTGTAATATCTCACTAAACATCTACAATGGACATGTTTATACCATATCATATTTATCTGGGTTACTAAGAGACCTTCTTTGTCCCTTAACAATATTTAGCAAAACAACTTTTACAAGTTTGTTTAAACGACACCATTTCATGAAATCAGACTTAGTGATTTGATTAAGTGCAAAAATGTTACAATATACAAATTGTAAGGCAATAAATATTCTTTTGAATAGATAAAAACAAACCATTTCTAACTATGCAGAGGTAAAATCGTTTTTTATTTCATTTAAACTGACTTTCAAAAATGAGCCCTTTTCAACAAAATTATACATGTATAATTAAGTCAAACAAGCAAAGCAGCTTCACAGAGTAGCAAATCCCACTGACAAACATATCTTATCAAAATCTCTCATCATTTTAAATGTGTCAAGCACTAGTATTGTCTCCCTTTGGCTAAATCTGCACCATGATCAGCGCAGAAATCAGAAATCACACTTGTCTGAAATCAGCTGGAATTTGAGCCATCAAAGTTATTGCATTTTTACAAAAAATGGTAGCCATTTTGAATTGAACAATATTAGAAATTCCTTCTTGACTGAAGTCTTTTTCCATGAGATATTAGCTATTAAAATTAAGACCAGATTCAATTTGTAGAATCAAAATTATCACAAATACACCTTTCAAGAAAGTGAAAGCTATTTTGAATTCAGAGTCCATTTTGAGAATTTCCTCTTTAATAGGGCTTATTTGTCCCAAAGGCATCAAGCATATAAATTCAAACCAAATCTGTCTACAATTACTCAGAAGCGAGTAGGGAGTTACCAGTTTCGCCACCAGGTGGCTGATTCGGGGGAATTAACATGGCAGGGTATTACAAAATTCCCTTAAACTTGAATATGCATCAGTTTTAGTGGTTCACTTTTCATATTTCCCTTATGTATCTGATAGTTATATACCCTTTGCATTCGTTTGACTTCACTTCTTAAAAGAGAGCTTCGTCTTCACTCTTTCAAACTAAAATAAACCTGTGAACTGACCGCGCCAATCAGTGTTCGTCGGCCAAATTTGACCGACGTTCTTTATATGGTCATTCCTTCTGACGTCATCGTTGAGCCCGGAATTGACCAATGACATGCGCATATTTAATAAGGACGCATTTGGCGTATGTTTCTTCAAGCTCGCTGATTAGCGCGTAGGTCAAAAGTGATATACCGAAACTGTCACCAGTACCCGTCGTGGGGGCGGGGCTACTAAACTGTAATATGGTCTCTACTAGGCAGAGTGTAGTTTAACTAGACTCTGCACGCAGGGTAATAGTTATACAAATTAAAATATGTGCAGTAAAAGAAAATATTATCTGCCCAACACAAGCAAAGATATTTCACTTTTTGTGGTTTTACAACATGGGGTCTATGGGGAATCTACCTGACCTAGAAGTCACATTTTCAAAGAAAATTAAATTTTCAAAGTTGATAAACTCTTCAAAACCACATTTTTAGATGTAATTCTACATGTAGATTCCAAAAACGACATCAGTTTGACTGAATTGTTAATGGCGTAATTTTTAATGACGTAAATCAAGATTATTTCTACTCGCATCTGGGATATTGACCAGACAGAGGACTTCTCTACAGTCCTCCCAAACTTCGTCCACTAAGATAAACAAGGCACATCCACTTAAAAGAGTGTTTTATTTTAGGCCATTTGACACATGATAAATGATGATGATTTTAAGCATGCAAAATGCACATTTTCAGCTATTAAAATTGTAATGAAGATTTTACATATGAAAAAAGCTTTGGACATAATTAACCCATCTATCAACAGGACAGTGGTCTGGATACTTGCAAAAAATAATGGGATGGTCTTGCTATTTGTAAAAAAAAGAATATAAAAAACAGTGGAGGTACATGAAAGAATATAGGTCAACAAGATGTATTTATTTTGACTGGTACTAAATGAAAATCTAATTCTTTATTTAACTGTTACAGGAAAAATAGTCAAATTACAAAAAAATTAAAATTAAATTATTTGGACAGGCAGTAAAAGGTTTTAGTAATAAGAGACATAATACTGACTCCACTAAAATTTAATACATCTTAGATTCTATATTTCACTTGCTTTAATCATACATTCAATAGTTTCTACTTTTGGGTTAATTAAGATTCAATGAAGAATATATTATGACATTTTGTACCACCCCCCTACTACACATCTTCGCACGCTCATTCTTCATTGCGTTCATCCCTTCGCTTATTTAGCTAGCACCCGAAGCCACTATGTAAACACAGCTGGTCACTTTGACCTTTGCCAACGAGTCGCCACAAAAACGCGATGAGCCAATCAGCGTTCAACTTTTCTTCACTACATCTATCATAGCCGTAGGCAGCGGGGGTTCGGTGGGTTCGAACGAACCCCCGGTCAGGATTTTCCAAAATATCATTTTGCGAAAAAATGCCTCAACCAGAAACATTAAATTACTGTGCTATTTGAAAACTACATATATGAGCAGTAAATGAATTGATATTTGTTATGGTGAACACGAGAGGCTTATTTTGTTAAAAACATGTCATCATGAAGTTACACTTCCCTCAAAACGTTTGGCAACCTTAGGCACGGGATGAGATTTAATTGTCGGAAGACCCCAGAGCATGAGATTTTACATTTAGAAATAACAATAATTTCGCACAATTAACTTAAAAGCTGATTCTTCTCGGACAAAATAACCTATCTTGGGCAATGGCTAAATCAGTCCTTTGTAGGATTTTTTTTAAGCCAGTTCTGGTCCAATACAAAGTTATTGAAAGTTATTGTAAACAATGCAGACGTCCCATACTCCGTATGATTTTTACAACATTGACGAATAAATATCTGGAAAAATTAAAAATATTTCTTGGGACGTCCCTGGGGCTGGGAAGTCCCCGAAAATAATTGTGTTAAATAATTAAAAACGTTGTGAAATGAAATATTTAAAAGCGTATATCATTTATAAACACAAGCATTTGTTCAAATTTATTCATTCTTTCATTTGCTCAGTATTTATTACCCATCACTTTTTCAAAGAAAAAGCAATCATTGCAAAAAACGATTTTGTTTTTTCAGATTTACTCCACTCATCTTGGAGATTGTATAGAATTCAAATTGTTATCGTTCCAGTTTACTTGCTCTCCATTTTCATGTTAATGTCATGATATGCTTAGCAAATAAATTACATAATAAAAAACATTGAAAAATCATATGGTATTAAGCTTCAAATAAAGAAGGCCTAATTGTCATCAAGCCGTCTGAACTTAACAAAATACGTTACAGTCTGACAGTCGCTTGTATTTATATAGGATTTATATCCAGCAAAACGTTTTTATTATCAATTGCAGTTGATCTGCTCCGGGGGACTTACCACTGAGCTCCGGGAAAATTGATATTTTAGACTTTTTAAAACAAAGCATAACCGAGACCTACTTATTTGAATAACAGATGAATAACAGATTACAGAATAGATGTTTTCA